CACTGATCCAGCCCCCCACGGATCCAGCCCCCAAAACGAGCACAGTGAATATATATATATATATACACATACATACACATACATAAATACATACATACGTACATACATACATACATACATACATGCATACAATATACTACAAGAATGTAATACTGGGGACAAAAGAGGGAGAGAGGGGCACGACCATTGTCTATCGATCCCCTCACGGAGGCCTTCAGACGGGTCGCAAAGTCATCGCCCTGGCTCACAATGTTGCGGACCTTAGTTCGTGGTGGCACAGTGGGCGGCTGCAGCGTGCAGCAGACCCAAACCGATGGAACAATACATGTCAGAAAAGCCACATCGTGTCAGGCATGTCAGGCGTGCTGCTGCTTCAGCGACTGTTCTTGCACACTTTGCAAACTGTTCAAACACCGAACGAGCTGATCCGTAGATTGCGGTTGAAGGGCCTGGGTGGCATGACATGTTTTTCTAGGAGAACTGCAGATGAAGAGTTTCTCCTTTCGGGCACGAATGGGTTGTGGCTGGGCCTGCCTGTGCTCCTCTCTGCGAATTTTCGGTGAATGGCAGAATACCGGTGCAACGGCAGGTAGCCGTAAACTTCAGACACTTTGGCAGTGACGTGGCATTCGGAGCAAGGAATGCTTCTCGACACTCTGAAAACATGCTGGAAAAAAACAGCCAAAAGGCCTGAACCAAAAAAAAAGACTTGCGAAAGCTGAAGCCACACGGGGCCCGAGCCACCGTTTCTGGGACGAATCGCGCAAACATCCCGATGCCACGTGCCAGGCGGCCGAACCTCAGTCACGTGTGCACTTCAAACACAATGTTGCAAGTCCTAGTTTCTGAGCATGTCGCGCGATTTCCAGCTCAGCTACGTCTTGGATGTAAGAGCGCCTGACAACGAACTCAGCTGTTCTCACTGCACTGGCAGGCTTTCCTACTTCCTTAGCAGCCAGTCTCTGATGAGTGAGCACGGATGAGCATGGTGTCCTCGCACCGCGGCTCAGGGCATTTTCAGGCCTCAGCGATGGGCGGTGAGCTCAGCTTCTATGCAGCTCTGCGTGAACTGTGAGGAGTCGGCTCAAAGTCCAGCTCGCTAAGCTTGTCCATGAGGTCCGTCAAATGTCTCAGACAAAACACAAAACAGAGATGATTCTCTCAACTCCAATGCCGATCGGCCAGGAGCAGTAGCAAGGTTCCTTTGCGAGCCTGGCCTTAGGGGTCCAGCCACCATACGGCCCACCAGCAGAGACGTCGCAACACTGAGGAGAGTCATCACCTGATGCAATTCGGGATAATGCTGGGCTAAAAAAAACTCGAACTTGACAAGCGCTTGAAGCCGGTGATGAACCGGGCATCTTGCGAGCAGCACGTACAGGCCCCTCGCACGGCCCTGGCTGCAATGCCAACTTGAACGCAGGCGACATGTGGGACAAGGTGGGGTCTACCTGAAAAACATGCACTGACATGATGTAGACATCTTCGTCTCTGCGACTGTCAGACTCTGATGCACTACATCATGCTGTTGATACCATAGATGATCGCGCCGTGAGTCTTTCGAATGATTTAGCATGCCTCTTCCAGGCTTTCAATGGTCGACTTCTCGAAAGAAGCCACCTGGTGGGACAGAAAGTCGAGAGCTTCAAAGTTGCAGAATGAACAAACCCAATCTCTTGCAGGGAGCCTTCTGATCAACCTCGTTCTCTACTTCGACCTGGCCGTGCGCTTAGCTCACATCAAGAGGACATAAGGGGACCCTGCGTTGCTGGGTGTTTGGCAGCACTTCCCGTGAAGATGCCAGAGTGAAGAACGGCAACGACGAGCCACCTGCAATGCATGTACCCTGTTGCCCAGAAGCATTTTGGAGCCCTGCTTCCTCCTCGAATCCCCTAAAGTCTGCAAGTGACTCCGTAGCATGCCGGGAAGAGTCCGAGCCTTGTGCGGGCGTCCATGTTGATGGACGAAGTCGCCACCAGGTAGCAATCAGATTGGAAGCCTCCAAGCCACTGGGACCCCAATGAGCCTACTGACAACCTAGAAGGGACCCCATTCCCTGGGCCTCTTCTCTGCAGAGGTGTGCAATGAAGGTCTGCTGCTCCACTGGACACCGCTGCCGAGCTGAAATTCCTCACTAACCTGACCATGGATAATGGCGCAGGCACAACAACTTCTCATGTGGGCGGTGGCGGCCTCGGCTTTGTTTCCAGGAGTGACGCATTGCTCCAGGAGCCAAACCTTGGAAACTTCCACCAGTCGGCGGGGTTGGACCGGTTCTTGACCTTCCTGTAACGTTCACCCATTTCACAAGCCACATCCCACGCTCTGCAGCGCACTGGCGGAGTATGGCACGCGAGGCCATGTCTGCGAGGCCCTGCACTCAGAGAGCTTCAAGCATCATCTCTAAGATGAAGCATCACAGAAGAAAGTGCAGGCTTTGGCCATGCAGCCTCCTTGTTCTGCTTGTCATCCGAAGGCACCTTCATGCCAAAAAACGACAAGCAAACTCGCACCCCGAGAAGCTGCAAGCAAAGGGCTCTCGGCTCCCGTTTTGACTTGGGCGAGTTTTGAACGGTTCAAGACCAATCCAGCTTTGGGCTTCGTCTTGCACGGTGCTCCTGTCGCACACTGAACGGGCTGTACACAACAGCCGGCAAGTACGCAGCCGTAAATTGTTTGCAGGACTACCTGAGTAGCAATGCGATCACGTCGAGTTGCGAAACAGGCTCTGTCACGAGCATGTCTAGCTGAGGAGATCAAAGGCCGAGCCGCACTTCAGCGTCAGCTTGCTCGGGCTGGGCTTCAGGATCACGCCTCGCAAAGACTTGCTCGTGGCGGCAGCCAACACCGAGAAAGTGAGAGCATCGCTGCCACCCCACGCCTGTCACGATCCTCCAGCGTCGTCTGCAGAGACAAGAAGCATGACAACAACTGACAGCAATCGCACGGTCTGATTTCTCTGGCAGCTTCTCTCCCAATTCTTGCATGCTACTAACGTACCTACGTATGTGCACACAATCTACTTATGTACTGGAACTCTCTTGCTTACTTGCTACTGTACTTTCGCAAAGCTGAACCGTCATTGGAATGCACAACCAGCCATCCAGAGACAAGTCGATCTCGAGCGTTCCTTTTAAACCACAAGACCCTCACAAGACCAACATGATGATTCGAAATCGAACTGAGATGCCCAATTGCCAATGGAACACCTGCCGCGACACCGACCAAAACAACAACGCGGGCGCCGACTGACACAACGACTGTGATCGACACCGACCATCTAGAACACTGAGACTGCCCTCTACGACTCTACGATACATCGACGCAAGCACTGCAAGAAAAAAAACACCTACGACTGGCCTCTGTACTCCGCATTGACTCACGGCTGGAAGTGTCTTCCCGGCGCTGAGATAAGAACTGCAGTCACGAAAAGGCTAACCACCAAGGCTACTGGAGATGACGGGCATGGTCTTAGACTGATTGTACAAGGAACTTTTCCGTGAAGAATCAGGCAGAGCACCACGCTATCAGCCCATTTCATGGGTCCGAAGCTTCTTGTGTAAGCATGACATCATGAGGCCACAGCATATGAAAATAACAGCGCATCGGCAGGTACCTGTCCTCAGCTTTCCACGGCCAGCCCGCAACTCCCCATCAAGCGCCTCTTATAACATTCAGTATGCAGACACATGTCTCAAGGCTTGTCTCAGCGAGCGCAGCATGCTCGAAACTTCTTGCCGATTTGGCCTGCCCGGATGACTTTGGATGTCAAGTCAGCCACGCTGTCTCATGCTCTGCAATTTGCACCTCTGCCTGAAACAAGCAATGCTCAGCTTAAATGCTCAGGCTCACACGATTGCTGCGTCGACCTGCGTTACAGAGAGTGTTCAGCAACACAGTGTCGATTGGATGTGATGCTACAGACAATTTCCTATCCTCTCCCCAAACAGCCGCCATTAACAAAACATAAGCTGCCCGATCTCTCCTTTTCAATCCGTTGGTCGTAAAATCGCATCTCTTGCTAATCGGTTGCAGACACGAAAACTCAAGAGAGCCGGGATCACACCCGGGAACAGGTGGGTGGGTCGAAACTCGGGTGGGATCCTTGACCCAAAACCGCCACGGATCAAAGGTTTTCCCGCCGACCACGCGTGGCAATTGTCATAACATGTCACAACAACACCAACAGGCTTCAGTTTGACACGACAATTTATCCGCTCCCCAAACAACCGCCTCAAGCTGCGCGATCTCTACTTTTCAATTGGTCGTAAAATCGCATCTCTTGCTAATTGGTCGAAGACACGCAAACTCAAGAGAGCCGGGATCACACCCACGTGGCTTTGACGCCAACGACCCAAATTAGAGATACTGCATGCTGAGGCGGTCGTAGGCGTTCACGAACTAATTACTCCACGAAGAAGAGTCCGAGGACTCTGTCGAAGCAAACGGGGAGCTAGCCGACGAGCTCGACTTCGAAGCCTTGGGAAAGCATCGTTTGCACTTGTTACCGAGGGTCGCTAGCGAAACGCCAGGAGCGAAATGCCTTAGGTGTAAGGCTTGCTGCGGGTCAAACAGGTCGGTTCTGCAACGATGAGGAGAGAGGTTCAGAATTAGCATCTCTTGGGAGTTTTCTGGGCTGGGTGGAGGTATAGCGGCGGCTCACAAACCACCAAGCTGTCCACACTCCATTCTTGGTCGGGATTGCGAGCAGAGGCTTTGCCCGCGTGAGCAAGGCTTCCAGCTCTTGACTGGCTCTGATTTGGGGGGCATCCCAGGGAAGCGGAATGTTTGTTAGAGCTGAAGGCTGAGAGTCCCCTGGCCCCGTGGCCGGCGGAGGAGTTTCTGGAACCTTCTCGCTCGAAGCTCCGAGTCCAAAAGCCCTCGCAGCTGCTATGTTCCCGCTACCGGACCCTTCTGGTCCGTCGAGCTCTGAGGGTCCTCTACCCGATGTGGCCCAATTCAGCGAGCACATAGAAGATCTGCGAGCGAGGAGCCGCAGTTTCCTTCAGCGTGCTGGGTCGGTCCACACTGCCTTGTCTGGATTGGGACCCACCGCGGCCATGCTTGCAGCGGCAGCCAACTCGGCAGCAGCGCCGAGTGTGCCGGCATGAACTGCACCGAGCCCGCTGGCTCCGGAGGCCAGTCCGGGACCTCGGAGGCCCTCTTCATTCGTTATTTCAGGCTTCGAAAGAGCGGCCCGAAGGTTGCGAGGAATGGCCGCGTGTGGCACCAGGCCCGGAGTCGTCGCAGGATATGTTTGCTCCCACCCAACCCACAGATTTCTCACCTGTAGCTTCTGACAGTTTCACACGAAATCCTGTGTGACCGCGGTCCAAAGGAGCACCACGGAGAGGTCCAAGGCGGCTCTCCAGCTCGGGCCCTTCGAGAACGTAGACCGGGTCGTCCACTTAGCACAGTCGTGCTGCCAAGGTGACAGTGGCGGTCGTTCGCCCAAGCCAGGCTGCCATTCGGCCCCACTCGGTGGGCGAAGAGTCTGACCCGAAGACTAGGGTGTTGTCGACCACCAAGAAGTGCTTTCCTTGCCGTTGCGGCGAGTCACAGCTGCAACTGAATCTTCGGGCCCGCCCCGCTGGGATATTCATAAACGCCCTGATATGCAGGCCCCTGTAGGCGGCCAGGAGCGATGAGACAACGTCAAGGAGGTGGGGCAGGATTATGCGCTCTCCCCGGTCACAGGCTTTGTTCGCAGAGGACTCGCGGAGGTCCCCTTTGACCCTCGCCTTCTTCACCGGCCGGCCCGCTGGGAATCCTTCTGGATCTTCAGCATCACACCGAGCTTGTTGAGCACCGGCTCGCCGCCCAGCAGTATCGCTGGTATGGGTCTTTTGATAGAAGCATCGAAGCCTCTCGACACGTCGTCCTGGACGAGTTCCTCCAGTACCTCGGCCTCCTCATGTGGAGAGCTGTGGTTCTTCCAGCCCTCCAGGGTCCTGCGGCCGACCTGGTCCGGTGGGAGGAGGTCCTTGGAAGCGACGGCTGGGAAAAACTCCGTTGCTGCCATAAGCTCGGTGCTGCCGAGCGGGGCATGCCAGCCAACCAGGGTGGCCGAGTTTGGTCGTCTCCGGCAGTTCCCCTTGCCTCGAGGATCGATGGTTGGATTTGCGGTCCGTGCTGTGCGGTTTCCTTATCCCCAGCTGACCTGGCCTTCTCCAGGACGTACTCCTCAGCGTGGTGGCCTTGGCCGGCTTTAGCAGCGAGAGCCACTGGCTCAGGCATTGCAGGAGCACTCTGCGCACGGCCATGTTCTGAAAGTCGAAGCAGGGTTCCTCCTTCCTCCATGTTTTGAGATTCTCGGCCTCCGGTGGCGCAATCGGGTCTCCAAGAGGCGGTGGCCTTGATGCCGGGCGAAGACTTGGCCTGGGCGGCTTGACCTTACTAAGCGCCAGATAGGGGCCTGCTGCGACAGCCACAAGGTTGTCGGAGTCACCAACAAAGACGGCATTCCACGGCCTCCTGAGTGTGCTAAGGCTTGTCGGATTGTCGCGGAGGATGCGACGAAGGCGTTCGATGTGCTCGCAGCAAAGCCTGTTCTCAGCCCTGTAGACCAGCCACCATATGTGTGGTCGCCGAGATGTGTCACAAAGCCCCGGCTGTGTTTGGCATAGGCGTCCAGCCTCGGAGGAGCAAAGAGGTCCGAAGGACCTTCCAATTGTACGAAGCCGGGCCCGGTTGCTCACGCTTGCTCCACTCCACGGTTGCCACATTGAGCTGGCACGAGGTAAAGGTCTGCTTCCTCAAAAGCCGAAGGCAGAAGAAGCTGAAGTTCGCATACGGCGCCGACCCCGAAGCAACAACCTGCTTCAAGGAGGCAAGTTGAGCTGCCGAGGGGTCCGCCTCCGTCGAAGCAAAACCCCCGTAGTCCTTGTAGTCTGGCGACCTCGGTCGTGTCAGGGGGCGTGACTTCAGCATCGAGGGCGAGGTCGAGGATCGCCGACATTCGCCGACAACTCTCGCTCCGCTCATGGCCGGTGCCGCAGCCGCCCCTGAGCACGGTGCAGGCACTTTTGGTGGGCCGCCTCTTCCAGGCGAGCCGGGTGTCTGGCGCATGAGCAGCAAGCACACCCTAAGCCTGTGGTTGCATTCTCCCATGCCGGTCGAGGAATGAGTCTCGAACCCAACGGGGTCCCCTTTTTGAGCGCCCTCCAATCGACCAGTGACCCCGGCAATGTGAACAGGTTTGTGATGGCCGCCAGCTCCGTCTCCGCGGGGTCCATGTTCGGGAAGTGCTGGGCCCTCGCGCAGCGCGGGCCTGGTGTGGATGGTCCTGAAGAGGTAGTTCCCGCACGTTCCCGAAGTGGGCAAAGGCCGCAGACACCCTCCGCCGGCTCCTCGTGAAGTTGATGGCCCGCTGGGCTCTCAAGGCCCATGACCCAAATGCAAAAGCACACAGCTGAGAGCAGGAGGTCCAGTCCCGAAGATAAGCTCCCAGATCCGGAGCGGCCCTCCTGAGGAGGTTGCCAACTCAAAAGATTCAGGAACGAGCACCAGGTCCATAAACCCCTACCCACCTGTTGTTGAATCACCCCTCCTCGAAATTCGGGTGTGATCCTTGACCCAAATGGTTTTACCGCCGACCACGCGTGGCAATTGTCATAACAACACCAGCAGGTTTCTATTTGACACTACAATCCTGTGCAAACTTGACGTATTCTGCTGGAGACACAACACCATGTCCACATCGAGATTGAGATACGCAGCGACGACAGAACAGGTTGTGAGCAATTACCAGAACAAAGAACTTGCGTTTCTCAGACCCATCATCTTGCCTGGCTCTGGTAAAGATCTCATCCACTTCTGAATCGTGCAAGTGGCTCTCCCGCATCTTCCTCGGCTTGGGCTCACTGTCACCCTTATGCCCGGCTGGCCCATGAGACGGCAGCTTGAAACAAGGGCTGCGTGCTGGCTCGCAGCGGTGCCTGAAATTATCGGGCCCGAACTTCATTACGGAGAGGGGTTGCCGAGGAGGGCTTCTCTTGCCGACAGGAGTCGTGAGCACGAGCCCGAAGAAAGCCAGATCAGACCTACAGCTCACAATAAACGCCTGATCCATGAAAAGTCCACACACCGATGCCATGGTCCTACATAGCGGGACTACCTCAAAGCATAAATCTTGCGATTGCGCGTGCAGGACTCCACATCTCGCGATATGGGTAACTGGTCTGAGTGGGGGCCTTGACATCCACGGTTCAAGACTTCGCAACAGCCAAGGAGCGGCGGAACCGCATCCGCGGTTTGCTCCGAACGCTCAGGGTGCTCCTCAAGAATCACCATGTCTGGTGTGGCACCACGATTTACCGCCCCCGCGTCCCGTGCTCTCCTCAGGCGATTCTGGGTAGAAGGCCCAGCCCAAGTGGCGGTTGCAATGGCAGCCTTGCCGGGAGGGTTCTGTGATCCTCATCGGCTCCAGTGAGTAAGGCTGTGGCAGTGAGCCATTGCCCACGCAAAGCCCGGAAACCAGGAGAACTCTGCAGTCGGCTTCCCCTCCTTTGTATTCAACTGCTTCGATTTTGCTCCAGCAGCATGCCGGGAAAGCTGCACTCAGAATGCGGCGACGGCGAGACTTCGGTTCAAGCCCGTCGGGAGCACTCGGACCTCGATGTGCAGAGAGAGACGGAGAAGCAACCAAACTGGCCCTGCCACCCTCGGCTGTGCTGCCGGCTACATCGAATCTGTGATCGTGGGCATTGGTTGCGGAATAACACCTGAACAACGCACAAGTCCTAGTAATCTTTGCCGGAGAACTCGCAGAATTGCAGACTGGAAGTGCCAAGGCACCAAGTTGACAGTTCCAATACATCGAGCTCGTAGACCCACGTCACCTTAAAATGGCTTGCAACAAAGCGCCTTGCGAGTGATCTATGCATCATCGCGCGAACTGTTGAGCTGAGCATCATCCTTCCGGCATTCAAACCTGAGCCAAGTATCACAGAAAGAAGCCTTTACGCAGTGATTCGTTGCTAACGGGCCCGTCAGCCGAAGAACTTCTCCTCAATCAGCTCATCAACACGGACAAGTGGGTAGGCGCAAGCTGCGCAGACAAGCCAAGAGCTCCGAGGCCCCTGACAGGGAAAGCACGCCATCGCAAGGATGCACACTCCGTTCACAACTCGTTCCATGTGAGTTGCAGGTGACCGTTGCCAGCAGAGAGCAGGCCATCCATACGTTCTTCCTGCAACTTCCTGCCGAACATGCAGGTCAGGCCTTGTCCTCAGGCTCCATGCCTCCGTGACGGCCACGTGTCAAAGACTCATGGCTGCAAAGCACAGCATCGGATACTGCGTCTGAACTCCAGTGCAACTCGCTGGGTTCTCTTCGACTGCTGATCGGTACCCTGCATCTACGTGCACGTGACTGTGATGGGGCGCACAGCTACAACATAAATCCATCTGGGTCATCTGATCTGGGCAACAATGGCAGCACCAACAGCGCATGTTCACCGGTGCGATATGTTGAGCGAGCTGGTACGATCTTGGACCATTCGCTGCAGCTCTTGCTTTAAGTAGCGCATGTCAGGACACTCCATTGTTCGTGCTGCCAAACACACTGTCTCGCCCTCAGCTGTAGCTGCACCTTGCCTGTGCGATTTGAAGACCCTGTTGCTCAGGGAAGCTGCCAGACACCTGCAAAGTTTTCAGATACGTGTTTTGCTGTGTCTTCCGTATGCAGCCCTTCCTGGTTGATCAGCAGAATGCTGGAGGCGTTCCTGCAACGATACAATGTGCACCCATCACAAACAAACTGACTTTGAATGTGCTGCGAGGAACAGCAGGAACATCTCGCACGATAGATGCTGCACGTTAAAGCACGCAACGCACACAAACCGAGGAACCGCAGCAGCACTTCCAGTTGGAACAGGTGCATGTCATTGTATAATGTAGACAATGCAAAAGAAGCACCATCAAACACAGGTATGTTGAGGCTTCTACAGGGGCTGAAACAAGCTGAAAAGTCATTGAAAAGTCCTTAGCCTTGAGCCGACAGAGGGCTTCGACTAGAGACCTAGCCTAGCAGGCTCGCAAGCTGCTGAAGCAGGGACTATGCCCTTGCAGTGACCCCGAGTCCTCGTGGGCATTGTGAGTCCACTCTTGAAGAACAAGGCCTTGTCGCAGGCACAGCTGTGACTCGGCTCCGAGCAAAACCGAAGCCAAGATCATCCAAGCCACATTCAACTCTTCTTCGATCGACTTCTTGATTTCTGCGGCCAGGCCTTATAGCTCTCCAGAAGAGGCTTCGCAGAATTACATAGTTCGCGAGGCTTCTGCTCACTTCAGCTGCCACGACGCCTTCCATGCAAGAGTACTTCTTGCAGTACCTGCACAGCAACTCAAGCGCGAAACTAAATGTCTGTTCCAGCCCATCACGTTGGCAAGTCCAGTTCTTTTCCAGCAACCAGAAGTTCACCAAAGCTACGTCTGTCCGCCTACTCTGCGCAGCGTAAAGTGCCAACTTCTTCAAAGACCACCCGCAGCCACAGGGTATGCGAGTGTATGCGAAGGAATCCATTACACTTCGCCAGAAATTGCCGTCTAAGAATCGCTTGAGATTGCTGAACAACTTTAGCTACAAGCTCTTCCGATGCCTAATCCACTGGGCTTTACTCGGGGTATTGCTCACACTTCTTGTCTCAGGGTGCCGTGGCGGTAGGGCATGACACATGCAGATGTAATGACATCTGTCTTACAGGATAGATGAGAGGAGTAGATACCTTGTTATCCCTAGCTCACACCACCGCGCACATGCTGAAGAATGACCGAAGCTTGTACGCTTTCTCATGTGGATACCTTTCTGTAGAGATTACACGTACACGCCGTGGCTGCGTGTGGTGCACTATCTGTCACCAGCTGTAGAGCAGTGGAGCACGGTGCGCGGTGTGCGCTTTCCGAAGGAGCCGCTCACTTGTCTTGCAGAGTGTGCACAGTTGACTGGACATCAAAACAATGGAAGTCTGTTTGGCCGGTTCTTTCGGAGGATGCGAATCGCTTTGCGATCGCAGCCGTCAGGAGCCAGAATTGAATTGTCGTGCTGCACTACCGGATCGCTACCTTGACGATCTTTTGAGTGTTTCAATCGTCGCCTTGTGCTGTCACTGCTGCCGACAGCCCGGCTGGCACTTCTGCTTCGCCACAGGTACCTTTACGTTGTTGCAGAACACAGCAAGACAAACCCACACAGGTGAAATCGACTTGGGCCTCTTTCCGAGCGGGCGTCGACGCAGGAGTCCTTGCAAAACACAAGCTGCAGCGAAGGCAGGTTAGCAGAGGCTGCGGAGCGTCGCAGACACTGTCCTCGACCCCTTGGAGGGGCTCGTCTTCGGAGGTGGGGCCTGCAAAAGACTCGCAGTAAAATCAGTGAAATCTGTACCACCTGCGGACAGCTTGGGCCTGCTCTGGAAAGATGAGGGTGCCCATCCTCTCATCCTTCGTTATGGCTCCCGGATCTGGTCGGAGCAGCTGCTGGAACTGCCAGGGGCAGACCAGGATGGCTTCCTCACCTGCGACAGCACTGACAAACTAGGTGCTCCGATACTGCCGGCCTTCCAGTGCTTTTTTGGTTTTGGTGGAGCTGTCTTGAACGGATCTCCTGCCTTTGGCATCACCTCCTCTCCTGAAGTGCACCTGCACGGCTCCAGGGCACATGCTCGTCGAGATGTGCTTCACCTGCGCCAGTGGTAAGTTGCATGCAGCAACAGAGCCGGCTGTCGGCTCAGCCCATGCCTCGCCGGGATGCCACCCCCCGTCTACGAACACCCGGACGCGGCAGCCGACGGCGTAGCCACCACGGCCTGTGACACTGCACAAGCGGTCCGCGATGGTCCGTGTATCAGTCAGTGTATGTCAGGTCTGCGTAATGATTGAGCCCATGTTGAGAGCAATGTGCTGTGACGTGCTGGGTCTGACTTCCACGGCTGAGTCGCGTGGTTGAGTAAGCACTGTCTAGCACGATCCTTATATTCCTACTGCAACAATCAACTGCCTGCAATTTCGCGAGCGAGCTCTGAGCCCAGCATCTTCTGCGAAGGGGCGCCCTTTGGCAGCTTGGTCTTCTCCTCTCGCCAAGTACAGAAAGCACTGGCTGCGAAAGGCAGCCACAGTCTTGCCAAGAGTGACAATGACATCGGCCCTGTCTCTGCGAATAGTCATCGTCGCACAAGCGAACTTACGGGCATGAAACTCCAGCGCCTGCCACAGGACATGGGGGAGAGGCTGCGTATCTGCCAGGGTGAGTAGATCGTTGCCTCAGACGTCACGGGATGCTACACCGGCTGCATCGAAGCGATTACCAATCCGGCTTGTTTCGTGTTGAGCTTTGTGACCTATCACCACCTACAAAATTGTATAATGGCATGGGCGGAAGTCGGCCACCTGGAGAATTTCAAACTTATTGACATCGGCAAGCAATCTGACGATCTGGCAGTCTCCATGGTTGGAGGTTACTGAGCTCCGTCGAAGTGTGGAGCTGTGGACAATCTACTTCGCTGGCTCAAGGCTCTGTGCCGAACCATCAGCAAGTTTTTACAGCAGCAGCGGCAGCAGGAGGGTCGGAGGTTGGCTTTCGTTGTAAGTTGAAGCTGCAGCTGCTGTGACAATGCAAACCACCGTGCAACTTCAATGTGCCACACAGCAAAGGTCGTAGGCCCTCGGCACACCTGGTAGCAAGTGGGCCTAAGGCCGGGGGCTTGACCGATCATCGAGCCTCGCGACAGGCTATACTATGTGCGCTTCAGAAAGAATGAAATGATGTAATTATGTCTTCATGTATAAACTGATATATATATATATGTATCTTTCTATCTATCGATGGCTGTTTATCGATCTATCCTATCGATCTATCTACCCAGACACAGAAGTATAGACAGATAGATCGATAGATAGATGGATGGATAGATGGATAGATGGACAGATGGATAGATGAATACATACATAGATAGATAGATAGATAGATGTGTGCACGTGCCTGTATGCAGGTACTAGATACTAGGTATTATTGTATTATGTTGGGGTGTGTGTTTCGGCATTCCTGGCCTTGCAGCTCCTTCAAGGGAGCAGAGAACTTGGGAGGTGTCGCACCATCAGGCCAGCGCTTGCGCATTTTCTCGTGGGTGCCCGGCGTGGCCTGGTGCTTCGACGGTCGCTGAAATCCAAAAGCTCGTTGGAAGCTCATGGTTAGCTCGTAGGTCTTGCTTGCGCAGCATGATTCAAAGAGCCTCACCTCGCAAAGTCGCTCAACAGTCTTCTCCCAGCCTTGGCGTACCAACTGCAACAAAAGGACTTGTCCATGAGGTCCTTAGATGGCGATCGATAGAGGGCGTGGCACACAGAGAGAACGCGTGGTGCAAGGCTGTCTGCGGATCGTAGCTCCGTGAGAATACAACCCAGGGAGTAGATGTCCGCCGGGAAGTCGTAGGGCAGCCGTGGATCCTCCCAGCTTCCAGCTGCTCACTGCTCAGCCCCCCCTGCGCCGTTTTTCGGCCCCCGGGTCCTGGATCTCTGGAGCCATGTATGTGGGGGTGCCGGCGACTGTCATCGCCATTTCAGAATTCCTCCGTGGCTTTGGACCACTGTACACAACAATTGCCAGGTATGTCTGCAAAACCATGCACCATGCAGTACAGACTGCCAGTGTCCTCAAAGATCTCGAAAGACCGAAGTCTGCAACCTGCATGCAAAAAGCACTGATCAGCGCAACCGAGGCGAGCAAGGCATTGTGCTGGGAGTCTTGAACGTGACGTAATCTGTTGCATGCTGCCTTGGGGAACCGATCGCCTTGCCGCAGAAGGATGTTCTCCTGGGCGCGCAACAGGTGAGTCGCCAGTCGCAGCACGGGGTCAGTGTGACGCAACGACCGACGACGAAGGACGATGAACAAATTCAATGTGCAACACCACATTGTCGGCATGTTCGCCAGAAATGTGGATGCTTGCTTCTGGCAGTGAGACGTGAAGTGAGGCCAGGAGCGATACAGGCACATACCGGAAACTTTTGAGAAAGGAAAAAGCGACCATGAAGGAACTGAAGGAACTTTCTGTGAGCATGTAGATACTGCTTGGAGATACAAGCACACAGAACTCGATACTCGGCTTCCGGAATGAACACGGGTCCATAGATTTGAAGCAACCTGTAATCTGGAAGCACCTTGGGTGCCCAACATCCAACCACGACGAGATGGACCCGTTTACTCCAAAACGAGCCTTGGTGCCTCTGTCAAAGTGCTTAGACAAGGCGCAGGCTTCAGGTCGCGATGCACGACTCCCATTTCGTGGGCATGCGCCAGGGCCTGTCAGCTCTCAGATCGAATGAGCGATGCCCACAACAGAGACGATAAACCAGGACCTTCTGGGTTTTGCTCCTGAGCCTCTGGCACAGGCAATATGAAAGATCATTGGCCGAACCAGGCTCTCCTGAAGTCAGGGCAGGCAGTGCTGAAGTGCTCCTATCAGGACCCTCCAGGCACCTATTCACCTGCACTGCTTCAGGGATATCAAGCAGGAGCAAGTTGAAAGGTGTTCTAGATTCTATGGCAAAGGACTCAAAGGACACATGGCCGCACTTGCAACATCACCTCTCCATGTCTGGAGACGTCAAGCCGCAGGCTACTCCGAGCGATGTCAGTTCTCTGACAACGCTTGTCACTTGCCACAGCTTGTACTTGCCCGGTGGCGCAGCTGCGTGCGGAAAATTTTCCACTGATAGGTGGATGCGCTAGTGCCGTCAATTGCCGTCACCAGCGAGCATTATCAACTGCTGTACATTGAAGCAGCACCGCCGGGGATATCACCCCCCAACCTAAAGCGCGTTTTGAACCGCGTCTTTGAAGGACATTGGTGAGTTCTTCCCACCAGCCAGGCGCGTGACGGCACCTACATGACTAACCAGGAAGTAGCTCCCAAAGTTCCTGAGCTGCAGCTGGAGAGCATTACAGGGCCGGGAACAAAATGCAACCGCAGGGTTACATAAGGTGCAAGCAGGATTCCACTTGATGTCTGCTGCCTCTGAGGACTCCTTCAAGAACTTGTACACGGGATGAGTCCCAGGCCCATTTACATCCACCTTTTCCATGAGGCGAAAGCCTGATGGATTTTCTTCGTGAGGGCACCTCCCGCTCAGATGAAACAGCCGAGCCTGTGTCAGAATCATCAATGGGAGCGCCTTGTGCTTTGACGAAGGCCTTGATCTCTGATGCGCTGCCTCGCATGCCACATCTGCTTACGGTCTGTGCGTCGGCAAATCAACGCACAGAACCGGCTGTACTCCGTGATCAATGCACATGTGCGTATGCATACATGCACGAATTTATAGACTGCGCCAAATCTGGCTAGACTGAACACATCTATCCAAATCGCCATCTCTCCATCTTTCTTTGACAGGGCCTAGGGGCGAGCCCCCGTCTGCAGGCACGCTTCTGAGACTACTCGGCTTGCCGGCTGCACCTAGGATTACAACAGCCAGTGCACCCGAACATTGGGCCCCGAGCTGTCACACGTGCGTATGCACCTCTCTGTTTCTCTATCTCTCTGTCTGTCTGTCTGTCTGTCTGTCTGTCTATCTGTCGACTTACACATCTATCAAGTCCTTCTGGTCTTTCTAGTCCATCTATCTGTCTATCTATCTACCTATTTATCTATATGTATACCTATCTGTCGATCTATCTACCTGCATAAATCTCTATCTATGTATTTATGCACTTATCTGCCTGTCTGTCGACCAGACTACCCATCCATCTATCTACCTATCTGGACCTATCTACCTCCTTGTCTACGCGTCTATCTATCCACCTATCTATCATTCCATCTATCGATCTATCTGTCTATATTCGCAGCTACATTGCAACAAAGGTGTATAAGTTTGTGGTACAGATACAACACACATACATGTATATGCAACTCTATATATGTATATGCATAATTACGTATACATACATGCATGCATGCATACATAATACATACATGCCTACGTTCCTGCATGCAAAAAAGATACAATGCATACATACACTCATATGTGCATACATTTCTACATACACCATACATACATACATACATACATACATACGTACATACACACACACACATACGTACGTACGTACGTACGTACATACCTACGTACGTACGTACGTATGCGTAGCGGGGTTGAGTCGCATCAGGGCGCGTTTAGTCACAACACCCATGCAGGTGCACGCCCCGATCCACGTTTAGTCGGATCACCCGCGTTTAGTCACATCATGATAGCGAAACCCCATGTGCACACGGTCCGGAGGTGGGTTTCAACACATGTAACGAAATGAGTATAAAGGCCGCGTGCCGCATGTACTCGTGCTTATTTTGCACCCACATCAAAACATTTCCTAGCATTAGTGAAACCCCAGTTGCACATGGTCCGGATGTGGGTTTCAACATATGTAACGAAACCAATGTGCCGCAGGCAGTCGTGCCTATTTTGTCACCAGTAACAAAACCCCAGTTGCACATGGTCCGGATATGGGTTTCACCATGTGTAACGACATGAGTGAAATGGCCGCGTGCGGTCTGTTTCATCACAGCAGCAATAGCGAAACCCCAGTTGCACAAGGTCTGGAGGTGGGTGTCAACACACAAATCGAAATGAGAAAAAGGCCGCGTGTTGCAGGTATTCGTGCCTATTCCGCACTCAAATCACCTCGCTTTATCATATCAGCAATAGCAAAACCCCAGCTGCACATGGTCCGGATGTGGGTTTCAACATATGTAACGGCATGAATGTGCCGCCGGTAGTCGTGCCTATTTGGTCAGCAGTAACAAAACCCCAGTTGCACATGGTCCGGCTATGGATGTCAACATATGTAACAACATGAGTGAAATGGCCGCGTGCGGTCTGTTTCATCACAGCAGCAATAGCGAAACCCCAGTTGCACACGGCCTGGAGGTGGGTTTCAACACATGAAACGTCATGAGTAGAAAGGCCGCGTGCCGCAGGTGTTCGTGCCTATTCCGCACTCAAATCACCTCGTTGTTGCACATGTTCCGGATGTGGGTTTCAACACATGTAACGGGATGAATGTGCCGGAGGTAGTCGTGCCTATTTTGTCAGCAGATACAAAACCCCAGTTGCACATGATCCGGATATGGCTTTCAATGTAGACGATCAATTAAAGCACTCGTTCGAGACACACATACGCGGCATCATTGCAAAACCCGGCACCATTTGAATGGCAAACAGCAGCTGCACACTGGCTGAAACATCTAGTTTACAAGCATGTCCGAGGATCCCAATTGAGGCGTCTTAGCAGAATCCCCAACTGCACACTGGATCGATGCGACTTTACCCATGGACCAGGTACATACATACCTACATACATACATACATACATACATACATGCTTACTTACTTACGTACTTATTTACTTACTTACACACATACCTACGCACATACCTACACACATGCACACATGCATGGCATGCATGCATGCATGCATGCATGCATGCATGCATGCATGCATGCATACATACACACGTACATACGTACAGACATACATAGATGCATGCACACATACATGCATGTAAACATGTTTGAACATCCATGTAGATGCACAAATAGCCTACAGGCATGCATACGTACAGTACATGCATACATACGTACACACATAGATACATAAATATTCATACATACATACATACATACATACTTACTTACTCACTCACATACATACATACATACATACATACATACATACGTACAAGCACATATATGAAAAATCAAATCATGCGGGCATCCGTACATACAACACATTCACACCAACACACAGGTGCATAGATTCATGCATACCTATGCTCATGCATCCAAGCACGCACGGATTCATAGACTGCGTCCAGTAAACTACGGTATGTTAAGTTTACTATGCTATAACGTTGCGATACGATACAGTAAATAAATTACATGATATGCAAAACATTACGGAACGTCAAATTTTGCTGAAGTGCGTTGCAGTACACATGAACTATGCTGCTACATTGCATTAGGTTACCTTGCAGTCCGTGGCAACTCCATTGCACACACATGCCTTCAGTGACGGTATACACCTAGGTCGTCATGCTGTCCTTGTCCCGAACAAGATGGGTTTACACTGCTGAAGACCACCAGTTTCCACTTCATGGGCGACTGCAGATCCTCGGAAGCCGGCTTTACTCCTGAAAGACCCTAGCCTGGCTCCTGCTGACCAAACTGGTTGCAGGGGAAGGCGAGAACGACTAGGCGGCCAGAAAAATGCTTGTTCAGCTCCTCAGATCGTTCGCGACACGATGCGATGGCGCAGCAATGAGTTTCCATTCTGTTGAGCTCTGTTGGAAAATCTGGTCCCGACCAGTGTGAAGCAGCTAGCTGCTCAGGTCATGTAGGCTCTAGCACTGACGACGAGTTCACCGAGGTACCCATAGTATTGCAGAAATCGTGGACGAAGTGGCAAAGCGGCTACGGTCTGCAGACACAGATGCAACATCCTAGAGCGCAGAAGGTCTCAACTAGGAACTAGATGTCGCGGAGCTCCGAGAATGAAGTATGAGGCAAGGAAAGCAATCTTGATTTCAGCACGTCCAGCGGTGCGCATTTCTGGCAGACGGCTGAAGCTGAAGGCCAAGCTCACATTGCATAACATGACGTCAAGTGGCAATCATCTCAGCATAGTGTTTCTTGGTAAACCCTCATCGTGAAGCCACGTTGGCAACCAGCACGGCACGGCCCTGCATGCCGGCGAACTGGACAGGATTCCTCAGTGCTCAACGCAGGGGAAGATTTGTGGCAAGGCAGGGTGCAGCTGAAACGCCCATGGATGTCGTTGGCAACGAGGCTGTAGAAGCCCTCAGCGGCGCTGCACTCGGTACCTGACGGGAATGGCTCGTATAACAAGGCATCGCCTGAAAGAGTTTCCGGCAGCTAAGCCTCGCACTGCAAAGACATCGCGAGATCTGTCCGAGTCTTTGCATCCATCTTCCGGTGGAAGCAGCCATGAGCCGCAGTCTGCTCTCGTGAAGGAAGAACGACTGCCCCCTCGAGCCCAGCTGCAGAGCATCAACCGGTCGAGTCTTGAGTACAAAAGCTGCCGCGCTACGACGACGACCATGATGACTAACCGCTGGTGGTGATGGTGGTGCTGCTGGTGCTGTTGCTGCTGCTGCTGCGGGTGCTGGCGCTACTGCTGGTGCTGGCGCGCGGCGCTGGTGCTGGTGCTTGTGCTGGTGGTAATAGTGGCAATGGTGCCGGACAGTGGCGGTGGTGCGACAAGTAGCACTCGTATAAGAGGATGCTTTTGGAGGAGCCACGTAGGTGAGCGCACTTGCAAACAGATTACGAGAAATGCCCCGCGAGTGCTGTAACCTTTTCCTTGAGACATATCGGGAAGGTAGTTGAACAGGCTGAACCTATCCGACATCGGCACAACGGCTTGGATGTTTGATGTGTCCTCGTAGTGCTGCGGCTCACCAGTCAGGGAGGAAAGCAAATCGCCCCCGGTGACGAGTTCCATGGCCTCGCGGCTCAATCCCAAAGCTAAAAGGCCCGAGCTTAAGATCGAAACGCCACAGAGTCTCACTGGCTGCTTTTTTGGGGGCATGGCGATGACCATGGAGTCGCTGCTTCTGTCGACGAAGGCTTCCATGAAGCGGACCTCGAATCTCAAATGCGAGGACAGGCGGCTGAACTGTGTCCTTACATGTCATCGCCACTCGGGGTGGTTCTCGTTGCTAGTAGCTGCTAGTACATTGAATTTGAAGGACGGCGGCACTCCTGATTTCCGTCTCTGTGGATAATACGGACAGAAGACATTGAGGACGAGTCGTGATGGTCACCTAGCACCGCTTGCAGCCCACGGAAAGCATAGGACCCACGGAGAGGTTGCGGATTGTTGTCGGCCCAAGCTTCTTACCGAGCCCGGACCAAGCAAGACCGCCTTCTGCTACACGTATTCTCAGCTTCTCAAGGTGCAACTGCAAAGACCGCAAGATCTCCAGTATTCATCCCGGCTGGACATTGCCAGCTCGATCTGCACCAACTTGCAATTTGCCCGGCCCATAAAAATTGGGTACTATGCTCGCGGCAATGCTTGGGTGATCCAAGAGCTTCAGGATGTTGATCTCCTGCAACATATGGTAGCAAGTCGATTCAGGTTAAATGGGTAAACTGATTAAACACCCGAAATCTAGATGCACACACGACCCGACTCTCAGGCCTGCTCAAGCATCGGTTCGGCTGACGAAGCATTCTCTGAGACCTCTGAGGGCTGCGGTCGTGCTAGCAGCTAGCAACAAACGATCGCGGCAGGGAAGATTCTGTGGACCGGCATAGCACCCTACCCTCCTATGGAACAGCTCCGAAGGCTACTCCGCCTTCAGAGCGACTTCAGTGTTGTCACGTCGGCGGGAACCACGATAGACAACGCCAAAGGCACCTCACGAGCAGCCCGCAGCCCGCCAACAAAAAATCGGGGTCTTACGTCCACCTTTGCCAAGCGCTCCAGCAGGAAGGCTGGCTTTTGGCGGCAGCACCTGGGCGCTCGAGAAGATACAACGCATAAGGAGTCTTGATATAGAGAGCGAGAGAGAGAGAGAGGTAGAGAGAGATGAGGAGAAGGAGAAGGAAATAGAGAGCAGTGACCTTCCGGTAAGAGAACAGGTTTGTCGGAGCTGCACCTCCCGAGCGATGGTATATCCATGACCAAAGAGGAACTTGTCCTCAGAGTGACGGTAGGTGAACTTCATTCACAAATTCAAAAAGAAGATACTTTTCGCTCGCTTGACAGTCTGAACAGTTTGCTGAGGCCCTGGTCCAAGCGCTCGTCTGCGGGCTTTGCTCCGAGAGGGAGTTTGAGGGCCTCGCATCTTCAGCCCGTTGACATCTTCGGAGGATCCGTTTTACAGTGCCCAGGCCTCCTTGGAGTTGGAGAGCCGCGTTTGCAAGTTCACATCCTGTTGACAGGTCACGTAGGGCTGTCAAGTTGCGAGGTTCAAAATTACAGTTACAGGCCGCGAAACCTCAGGAGCACCTGGCGCTGCCCCATACACTGTCTGGTAGTTGGCATTGTTGACAGAATCCTACAGGGCAACATGAAGCTTGACACGAAACAGTGTCGTGTGCACAACCTGCAAGTTCGGTTGGATCTACCCTCCCAGGGCCCCACCCTGCCACCATCGCCATCTACCCCGCCTCCGACATTGGCTTCTGCTCCGAGACCGGCATCGAGGCCGGAATAGAGGGCGGCACAGACGCAGGCATGGAGGGTGGTGGCAATGACACGGAAGAGGGCACTGAGGAAGGAACCGTCGCTACATCAGGCTCTTCTGCATCTTCCGCTTTCGCCGCTGCAATGCCTTCAGGGTGAGGCCATGATCGATGCATATCGATGCATTCCGCTGCAGTGAGTACACACATGTATATACTACACCCCTGCAAGCCGGGCGCCTTCACTCTCCGCCTTGGCTTCGTGCTGACCCTGATCGCCCTGGCCCTCCGTGGCCTCCAAACCCGACTCCTCCGAGCTCGACTCGTAGCTGCTCTCGGACTGGGCGCTTTCTGCAGGTTGACCCTGACTCTGGGTCTGTACAATGCTGTGGGGTGGTGGAGGCATCGCTCCGGCTGCAAGCGGATATGCTGGGCTGTAGCTAACCGAAGGGGGAAGTTGCATTGCGGCCTGAGTGGTGGGAACCATGCCCATTGCTACCTGGGGTTGAGTGCCTGGAAACCCAGCGACTTGGAACCCACCAAGTGGCTGCGATGGCATCGCACCGGGTGTGTTCGTATAGAAAGTGAACTGTGGTTGTCCGGGAGCTCCCTGGGCAAAGCTTTGCACCGCAGGCTGGCCGGCTGTGAACCCTCCTGCAGCCTGGGCAGTGGTGGGATGAAATGCCGGCTGCGCTTGTTGCGGGTGTGCATACTGCACTGTGGCAGCGTGGTGGTAAGCTGGATGCATGGCCAATGACAATCACAGGCCAGCAGGCATCGCAAACGGAGATGTTTGAATGCACACTTGGCAGAACTTTCAATCAATCAATCAATATATATATATATACATATATATATATATATTCCTGCTCCTGCTAGCTGCTAGATGAAGGGGAGCGCCAGGGAGGATTGTCTGAGGAAAGACTTCATAGTAGCTTCTTTGTCTGCACCGCTTCCTGTCTGGGTGAGAGAGTCTTTTATTTTAAAAGCCTTTGGCTGGAAGCCGAGCGTGCCGAGACGAACTATCATGTATTCAGCAGCAACACGACCAGCGCATCGACTTGCAGACTCTTCCAGCGCGGCAAGCCCAAGTCGCTGGGCGCACGCAACCGGAGCGGTCCAGAACATGGCTGAGCCGCCATCTTCAAGCATTGAAACTCGCGACCTTGCAGCACCAAAAGCAAGGTCCACTGCAGGTGCAGCTGCGCCACTACATAAAAATCCTCCATCACGTCTGCAAGGGATCTCGAGTGCTTGCATGGATGCCGGGTGGGTCCCGTGCCAACTTCTGGCGACTGGAGCGTCCTCAGGCGTGAACAACATTGAAGCATGTTGGCTGTGTAGCGTAGCAAAACGTATGAAGCTGTGCTGTTAAGACGATCGAAGCGACTGCTCGAACTCTACCTCCCCTACCCACGTCACCAGCTTGCCAAGTATGCTCATACTTCGGTACGTTTCGCAGCTTCAAAACGTGGACTTGCCTCGCTGTGCTCTTGTTGGGCACGAAAGGCTTCTTCAAGATGGACGCTTCCCTGAAGATCAAGTGCCAGGTGCAAGCATGAAGTTATGAAGCTTCACAAAAACGACAATAGACAATAGATGTTCAGCACCGGGTTGGGGCCCTTATCAACATCGTTACAGCTACTATGTGGCCTGGAGCTCGGTGGCACCTTCGCGCCGACCTTGGCTGCATCCATGCTGATAGAAGATGTCGGTTTACGTGATTTCAAATTTGCAGTTGACCGAACTTGGGATAGTGGGGTGAACTTACCACAAGGCGATCCTTGCGATCCAAGTTACTGCGGAAGAGAGCCCCGAGCTTGGGGCTACTGCACGAACTCGTCCACCCGTCTACCGCTACCGGCAATACATTCCGATTCCTCGATGTACTCATCTGCACCCCCTCCACCGATCCCCAGGCCCCAGTCTTTTCTCCCACACCCGGGACCAACATGGTTAGGGTACGAGGGACAGAAAGGGCATCACAGAGAGCAAAAGCTGGCTGTCAAGAGGTTGTGGATAGCACAGCACGACTATGGATCACACAAGGGCGCCGACCCGTGGTCAAATCTGTCTTGCGGCTTGATACAGGAGAGCCTGCCGACAGCTCTGCAAACGTACATGAATCATGTTCCAGTTACGAGTCTTCGCGAGAATGGCACGTTTGCGCTTAGCAACATCCGGAACCGAAGCGGTCAGGAGCCTCCGGCAGGTGCGTCCCAGAGCAGGCCGGTTGGACTTGGCAGCCTTGATGAGGGAAGTCATCAAGCCGCAACTGCGAGATGAATGAATTGTGGGTGACTAGCCTCACTACTGCTCGCATAACAAACACTGTCCTTAGTGTTTACTGTACACTGTACACGCGGCTGCACCAGATTCACCTGAAGAAATCTGTCGAGGAGAACGAGGCCGGGGCGGGGGGTCCGTCGGCGGCTGTACTGAAAAACCCGCGAACCTATGGCATGTCACAAGAGATCATATTGACAGATTCATCACGGTGCCCCTGCTGGCTTTGGCTTTATCTTTTAGTGGGTAGGGTGAACAGGCGGCTTGGCCAAGCTGCAGGTGGTGAACTGCTAAACATGACAGAGTTGCGCCCCGCTGTCCGAAGCCACGTAGATGCCGCTCAAGGAGCATGATTTCCCTGGCACTCTACGCTTCGAACCGAACATTTCTGGCGACATTCCTGTGCTTGCTTGCACTTTGCGCATGCTTGCGACAGGTTGAAAGCTGCGAGACTGCGAACCTCCGCCGCATTGCGAAGACATCTCTGCCCAAGCCCTGATGCCAACCTAGCACAGTACTGTGGAGCCAGATGCGGCATTGTCAAGGCCGGTGCCGACCCTGCGCAGCCCCGTGACATCCGCATGTAAACAGGACACAGTGGATGAAGGCCTCGCGGCGCCACGCTGCGCCTTGCTATTCGCAAGCACTGACGGAAACAAGCGGTGTCCTAAGCGCTAGAAGCATCTTGACGAGGCGCTGTTGAGGCTCGAGGAATTCACGTTGAATTTTTTCCGGGCCACCATGTGCCCCAGGACCTGGCAGGCCGAGAACTCATCAAAACTCATGCATGTCTGAGCCCATCAGAATCCTTCAATCGAGCAAGGGGATGCAGACTCGACTGCTCTGTCTGCAGGAACGATGATGCTGTCCTGGACAGCGGATGTCCCCGTTTGATGTAGGCAGAGGGACTAGACTAGACGATTGATGTCAGTTGAGCACAAAGACTCACTCCGTAAGCTTGCACAAAACGTCCTTGATCTTCGTCGAAATCGAATCAAGAAGACCTGTAGGAGCCACCTGCGGCAATTAGACAGTAGCATCGCTGCGGCCACCCCGGCGTCTACAGTCCAAAAGTGGCCGTCGAGGAGTTGGGCTGCAGAAAAAAGCCAGGGGCTGAGTAAAATCGATAGAAGTCAAAATTTTGAAAGCCAGCCATGCACTGTGTCGCGAAGTGTGCCTAGCCTCCGACACATTGCCCACAACAATCCTTGGCTTCGTCGGGTTCCATCAGTCTTCACACCTAGCTAGTCGAGCTTAAACTCCTACTTGCAGCATGCAGTTCCAGAACTTGCGAAAGTCTCACTGAGAGGCAAGCTCATCAATGAGACGTGTCTGGATCTGCCTTGCACCTCAACGTTGGGCGGTGGGCTGTGTAGGATCAGAGCAAATTATGCCCACCTGTAGTGCAGAACATGACGAGGGATATTTTGAGGGCACCCTAGAGCAACAGCCCGCTCCCCGCTGCTACTACCTGTCGTTCGAAGATGTTTTTGGCTTGGTTGGTAACTTGTGCGCGGCTCCTTCTCTTGCCTGCGGCGCTCTCCGCGCTTAAGTGCCGCGCTGCTGCACGATGTCATAGCATGGGAACGAATGGACCTGGACAAGGCTCGGAACCAATCTGACCAAGAGATGCTCTTCTCGGTCTCTGGCTGTGTAAAGTGCTCCAACCTTGCTGCGACAGCTCCGGGCTTCGAGCACCGCGCTGAGAAGACTCTAAGCTGTGCACGGCAGGAACATTGCTGCACAAGAGAGGAAGACCTGGATAGCACATAGCAAACGGCAATCTTCACGATGAGACATTAGGATTTGCAGGCGGCAAGGGTTCTGGCAGAGCAGCTGATAACCGCTGTCACAGCCCAGGTGAACGGGATCTGAATCCTGAATGCATCGATGCAGGCATCCCTCAGCCGTTCACTCCACTCAGATTAACGCCCCGCAGCCTGGCTGGCTTCTCGGCTCTTCCTTAGGATGGTGCATCCAGCCGAAGCAGGGTCAACATATGCCCACGACACGAGTCGCAGCACTTTGTCCAAGCTCCACGCGACCCTCCTGAACGGATGGAGCCAAGCGGTGGCGCCATGACGGCTCAACCATAACTGCCAATGCCTTGGGGCTTGTTGTAGGGAAGTTTGGTGATAGAAAAGTCTTTTCCAGATACAACTGCGTACAGGCACCCTCAGTGCGATCTTCATTTCAGAGAGACACGTTGGTGTTGGGCGACGACGATGGAGGGTTCTCGACATCGGAAGTCCTGCCGAGCTGAATGCTGCTCGCAATTCTGCCCACAGCCTACGACCTACGAGTTTAAGCAGCCTGCCCCTCTGAAGTCTGAAATGCAGACGTGACCACCACATGGCAAGCAATGTTCGAAGGCATTATTTGAAGTCATGAATCTGCAAATGCGAAACCAACTGCGGAATTCAACTCATAGCATATGTGTCGGCTCCTACACGGGCTTTCGCACACCCTCACCTTCCTTGGTCACCAACTTGAGGCTTCGATCCCTTCCCCTTACCAACTTGAGGCTTCGATCCCTTCCCCTTGCACTGGCCACTGCATAACTTCGAGACCGCAGCGCTTCTCGGAGGGCACGACTCGGCCTTTCCTGTGGATCACTCGCCGTTGGCCAAACACAGTCCGGAAACACATTGAGTGTGGCATGGTGTCGCTACACTGATGCAAGGCTTGCTGGGCACTTTAACGGCCTTGCCTTAACGCAAGCCCTCAAGGGGAAATCACCAGCATCAGGGACATAGGCATCTTGCAAGACCGGGATGGCACGATCAAAGCGATCGTAGATCACCACATCCTGATCTGACAAACAGAGTGCTCTGGAGTCGAAAACCAACCATGGGTTGTCATCGCTTGAGAGGTCCTCCGCGCTGTGAGCTTGTATGCACTCTTGGAGGACAGTTCGCCACGAGTCGCTGAAGCTGATGCATGTTAGGACCTGCAAGATGCACGCTGGTCAGCTGCAGCACACCGCTGCGGCTGCTGCTCCTGCTCCTCCTCTTCCTCCTGCTCCTCCTCCACCTCCTACTCCTATTTTTTACTTCTACTCCTCCTCCTCCCACTCCCACCCCCACTCCTTCCCCTACTTCTACTCCTCCTCCTCCTACTGCTGACGACGACCACCAGCACCACCACCAGCACCAGCACCAGCACCAGCACCAGCACCAGCACCAGCACCACTACCACCACCACAATAAGGACGACGATCATGATGCAAATGGCTTGCCATCCTTGCAGCTGTTGTCTTTATTGTTCTGTGGCTGGTCTTGCTGCTGCTGATTTTGCTGCTACCATCACTGTCTCTACAGCAGTTCGCACGATGATGAGCACATCTACCTTGACTGGCAACGGCAGCCTTGGAAAGCGATTCCTTCGGGATCGTCAACGTTTCAGTCGTGCCGAGGTCGTGAGGTAGGCCCTGTGCCATGGTTTCCAGCCACCAGTTCGTGT